ACCAAAAGTATAAATATCGTGTGACGCAATGCGTGGTTGAACGATAAATGTCATGGTGTAATGTATGACCGAGTGGTCGAATGATAATGTTGTGACGCAATGCATAGCCGATAATAAAGTCGTGGCACAATGCACAGTCGTCAAATAGAAACCGTGACGCAGAGCATGATTAAATAACATCATACGTCGTGGCACAATGCACAACTAAGTTAAAGAGATTTCGTGTCGCAATGCACGTTATTCGGACTTAATCTAATTTTTGCCCTCAAGTTTTACTAGCATGACTTCCCGTAGACCCGACGAAAGCTAGTGCGAGTGTACCTATCTTGAAAGTTTAGGTACAAGTCTCACAATCTTATCATCTTTCCGCATCATCAAGATTGGTGATTCATATAAAGTCTATTCCCCCCCTAACCGGCGAGACTGAGATGTTTCTTTTTCTGTGACCAACGATGCTAAAATTATTTATTCTTCAACCGATAATAATATATACCGCACATCCTTGACTTAATTATGGGATCCATAAGACGAGATCGGATACATTTTGCTAGAGGCCGACAAGGCTCTGACACTTCACCATTTTTTTTTGTGCTTATGCATATATTTTGAGACGACTTTTATTTAGTTTGGAGACGACCATTGGCATAGCTGAATCGGATATGTTCTGCGGCCAAACGATACGGATGTACGGGACCTAGAAGCCACACAATCCTTTGATTGTCAGATAGAACTCGGCTCAAATCGTTGTAAAAAGCGTGGGAAATCGTACTTTGTAATTTTTCAATGAATGAATAAAGTGATATTTCTCTATAATTTTATTCTTTGTGTATTTTGCATATTTACTTTATTCTTTTAGACATGTATACCGGTATGCCTGTCTACATTAGTACTAAGCAGTACGATCCTCGAAAAGGCGTCTTCTCTAAGCGAAACATATCACGTGATTGAGACGAATGCAAAAGATTTATGTCGGACATCGGCCGAACCAATACATGTGCTTCAATATACTAGGTTTTGGGCCCATAACTGATGGTAGTCAGGCAACGAATTCCCTGTTCGTTTCACTGAAATTTGACTGCTGCTGATGCTTATGTTGATTTGTTGTGAGAGAAAAATAATGTTTATTCGCTGAAAAGTAGTGTTAAAGTAGTGCTGCAGAATACGGTGTAAGAAGTAATGTACGGAGTATATAGGCAATGACAAGGCATACCGATCAATTGATGATGAATCTATGAATTACAAGAGGCTATACATTGTGACTCCATACATATCAAGGTTGTAGCGAGCCAAATATAACAACAAAGCATAATACGTTGCAAATTGTCAATGGTGGAAGACCTGTTTTGATAAAGACATTAATAAATTTGATTTGATAGCTAGATAGAATATTTAAATGGACTTGAAGAGTATAATATTAAATCATAATTATGGTTGGCGTGCATACCGCGCGAAAAATAGCTACAAAACTAAACACATGCATATAGCCGTGGCCCAGCACACACGTGGGTTTGATGTTGGATGCATATGTATTTGTATCCGTCTTAATCTATATGTGTTGAAATAAATTAATATAAAATTTACTTTAAATTTCACTCCAACTCATTTGAATTGAGATGGAATAAGTGTATTCAAACAAGGCCGAAAGAGTTTACAGTAGTAGCCACTATTTTCACATGGAAAAGTGACGTCTTAAACTAGACCCACAAGTCTCGCCTCATCTCGTCCATGCCGTGAAAATGTCTGATAAAAATGTACACTAATCATCATATTAGCATTTATCAAAATTTATCTTGTCGTCATAATTGCTAAGTAATAATATAACATTCTAATAATTTTTAATTTATTTACTAATGATAGAGATTAGATAACATGCATGAGTTGGTAGCAATTTTTTTAGTAAAAATATCTAGCGTCTGAAAGAATATGAGTCCTGATGCAGCCACCTGAACTATATTATTCGGCTTACCCGAAAAAATGGCTTATTCGGCTTCTTTTTTTAGCCTCTCACAACAATTCAACCGGAACAGTGTTTTTAAGCTAAATTCAGCTAAACGAACGGGGCCTTAGTTAATTCGAAAACCAAAATAAGACAATCATTAACGGCCATACCAGTGACGTGCCAATTCAGGCCTTGTTTAGTTTCTCAAACCAAAGTTTACTCCCTTTCCTATCGAATATTTGATACATGCATAGAGTATTAAATATAGATTAAAAAATAACTAATTACATAGTTTACGACTAATTTACGAGATGAATCTTTTAAACATAATTAGTCCATGATTTGACAATATGGTGCTACTATAACACATGTACTAATGATGGAATAATTAGGCTTAATAAATTCGTCTCGCGGATTACTAACGGATTCTATAATTTGTTTTTTTATTAGTATCCAAACACCCCATACGACACACCCATATGACACCCGATGTGATACCCCAAAACTTTACAACCTGGATTTAAACAAGGCCTCGGTTAGTTTCATCCAGGCAATGTGCCTGCTACATTGACGCTCGATCCGTAAACATCTGCTTTCATCAAATTCACAGGTACTGTACCGTCCCGCCTTGTCGACATAGCCGCGGATGCGCCATCACCCGCTCGCGCCCAGCTCACGAATGCGCCATCGCCCGTGGACATAACCGTGGATGCATCGCCACCCGCCGTTGATCAGTGAAAGATATCGACGGTGCCAGACGTCGGACAAGGGGTCATCGACGTGGATGGTAAGGGCATCGAGTAGCGCGCTGCACTGGTGACGTGGAAGAGTCAATGGCGTCGATGGGGAAAGGGCATCAAGCAACCACGATCGATGGATGACCACATGCGTCGCCGTATACGTAGACAAAATTTTGTTGTCCCAGTGCAATGCATAGATATATATCTAGTTAAAAAAATTTATGAACAGGTTAACTGTATGTATAGATATCCTCTTAAGATATTCAACTCTGGCCCGAGCAACTTGTCATGTCCTATCATAAGATATACATCTATCCAAACACACACTAAGGCCTGGTTTAGATTGAAAAAAATTTCAACCCGATGAATAGTAGCACTTTCGTCTTATTTGGTAAATATTGTCCAATCGTGGACCAACTAAGCTCAAAAGATTCATCTCGTGATTTCCAACTAAATTGTGCAATTAGTTATTTTTTTAACTACATTTAATGCTCCATATAAATGGCTAAAAATTGATGTGATGGAAAGAGAGTGAAAAAACTTGGAATTTTGAGGGTATCTAAACAAGGCCTAATAAATTTGATTTGATAGCCAGATAGGACTACAATATTAAATGGGCTTGAATGAAGATACGGGCGATTTGAATGAAGATACGGTTGGCGCGCAGACTGCGATTTGGGAAAGTTTGGTGAACGCGTTTTGAAACGACCACTTTATTAATTTTTTTGTAAAAATAAACAAAACTAAATCCAAAGCTAAACAAGCATGTAAATATAAACAAAACTAAATACAAGCAGCAGCCGTGGCCCAGCACACCTATATAAATATAAAAAAGAAAAGAAACCCGATCTTCTTAGGTTTCAACGCCCTCAATCCATCACCGAAGGAGAGAGTTTACAGTACGTAGTAGCCACTATTTTGACGTGGAAAAAGCAACGTCGCAAGCTAGAGACTCACAAGTCTCGTCTGGTCCACGCCGCGAAAATGTCCGATCTAGCGTGCGGTTCGTCATAACTCATAGTCCGTGCACTTGTGCTCCCGGTTCCCGGCAGTGCCGCTCCCCTGGTTGAGCCGTCGCGGGACATACGTCGTCGTGCCGCTCCCCTGTCGAGTGTCCTGTTGCTTTCTTGAGGGAGTCTTGAGTTGAGCCTCCGCCCTCTCCGCTCGTCCTTTGCCTTTGTTCGGTTGGTTTACAGGTAGTTTGTCCTTATTTATATGGTTGATTTGTTCGAAGAGAAAAATATTATATCATAGTTGATAAGTTGGCTTATATGAGTAACTGAACAGGTCACATTTATGCAGATCCGGGGCATCCGGTCAACGATCTCGCCATAACTACACAGTATGTTCCATTTTTCCGATACTGAGCAATGCAAAAAGAAGAACAGGCCACATTTGTTATGCAGATCAGATCGAACGGGGCATCCGGTCAACGATCAATTTTCGCGAAATAAAAACTACAATACGTTCCATTTTTCCGATACTACTATTGGCAGGTTCCGTCCATAACTACAGTAGACTAGTAGTAGCAGTATTCCAGAACATGGAGCTGAGCAGTGCCGTGGTTTTTGTCGCCAACGAGAGGCACTCAATGCGACAGCGACACACAGACATGGACTTCTCCTTGAATGCAGCAGCTAGTAGTTAGGGTCCGTTTAGTAGGAAAATTTTTGGTCTAGGTTACTGAAAGACTTTGGTAATTAGTGTTTAATTATAGACTAATTAGGTTTGAAAGTTTCGTCTCGTGATTTTTCACTCAACTGTGCAATTAGTTTTTTCTTTTTCTACATTTAATATTTCATGTGCCGCAAGATTCGATGTGACACCTTGAGATGAAATTTTTTAAGAACTAGATAGGGCAAGGCCCTATTTAGTTCCCTTTTATCTAACAAATTTTTCAAGATTAGTTTTTTCGAATCTTTGGACGCATTTAGTAAACATTAAATATAAATAAAAATAAAACTAATTACAGTTTAGAAATTCGAGATGTGACACTTTGAATTAAACTATGGTTTTTTAAGAACTAGATAGGGCCATTTTGCAAAAATAGCGGATCTAAACCAGCCCTTAGCTAACGTGTGCTGACTTACGCTCCCTTCCCTTGGACTCTCCGCCTCTCTCTGTCTATAAAGCACCTACCCATGCACGCCGTGCTGCTTCCATTGCACTCCAACCTCGAGCTTCCTTTCCTGCACGTTCAGCCGTGCGCGACGCCACGAGAGCACCGCCGCCGGCGCTGAGAGAGAAGGAACCGGTCGTCCGCATCGCGCTCGATCAAGTGGCGAGCCGTGGGATAACATTGCCCTGCCCGGCAGGCCGCCATGCTAAGTACTGCCTCGTGGTCTCCTCTTTCGTCCCCGTCACAGTTTAGGTAAGTCTTGCATGCATTGACTTCATCCAAAAATAACTCGTTCAAACCTGAAATTAATTTGCTTTCTTCCTTATTTACTAGTACTTGAAGGTTCAAAGTTTCAGGTGCTAAGTTTCAAACGTTTATTTATTTCTTTATAAAAAGCAAGGTTCCCAATATCTGGCGCAAAAGCTCTAACTTCAGCCGCAATATTTGTCATTTTTTTCTAAAAATATGGATTTTTTTTGTTAAAACTATACTTATATACAAGAAAACAAGCTGATTGATTTGTTAAAAAGCAAGTCATGAAAGCCAGGAGTTGCTTATGGTCGTGTTTGGGACCACTGCGTGGCCATGGTGGTGTGACCTCCATTTCAAGAGGGCTAGTTTATTAATCTCACGGTCGCTGTGTCTCATGCAATGGAAAAAGTCATTGGGGCTTAGGACGTTTGGCGGATTTTTTTCCTGATTTTTGCGGTGGGATGGCCGCAAATCCGATTTTAAGGCGGTCCCAATACACCCTATGTTAAAACTTGGAAACGTATATGCAACTAGCGAGTGTTTATTTCCAAGATTTCATTTTCTTTACCATCTAACCCTATAAATTATATTTTCTTTTGAGAAATGGAAAAGATAAGAAAATATTAGGCAAGGGTAACTTGTCTACCATGCAAGGCATGGATATAACTTCCATGTCTTATTAGATTTAGCTTTTCCACGTGATTAATGTGATAAGCTGGTGACATGACCTTTTCCCGTAACATTACAAAAAAAAACTGATATGAGATGCATGACAAACTTGCTTGTAAAAATTTTATAGTTTTATTCACCCAAAATAATATATTTTGCAAGCCCTTTCTCTTCGCTGAAAAGCTAGGCTGAAAAGTACTGTTCGCTGATTTGTTGCGAGAGAAAAACACTATGCATTAACTAATAAGCTACAGTTTTCAATACTACAAAAAGGATGTGCAATCTGAAACACGAAATTGACATCTCATAGCTCAAATAAAACTTTTATAGTTTTATTCACCCAAAATAATATATTTTGCACAGTTACAGTTTTCAATAATACAAAGAGGTTGTGCAATCTGAAACACGAAATTGACTCATAGCTCAAAGAACCGACTAATAGCAATTTCATGCACAAGGTAAGAAATGCTGCAATTGCATGCACATGGTAAAAAACAAGTCAGAAATGAGAACCGCAATATTACTGTTGGTAGGTGTCGTTTTGGATTTGAAAGTTGAAACTCGAAAGTTCCATCGTCATCACAATGCACATTCAGAACCACTGATTTCCTTCTTAAATTGTTTTTAGTCGAAAACGGAAGCCATAGAAAGCTTTTCCAGTCTGATAATGTTTTCTTTGCTATTTGTAGTCTGAAGTTGACACTGAAAGAGACTGGAGGACTATCCTCTTGTAACTGTAAGCATGGAAAGGGAAACATGTCCACCGTGGTCAGCCGTGGAAACAAACCTCCTCCGGGTTTTAGACAGGTGAAGACATCACCGCTCTCACAAGCTACCAAGGCCAAGCCAAGCCGCCTCCGGCCACCCCATGGCACGGGCAATCTCGGCGCGAATCCGGCCAACTCGTGCCCGCTCACGCCGCTGGGCTTCCTGGAGCGTGCGGCCACCGTCTTCGCCGACTGCCCCTGCGTCGTCTACCACGACACGGTCTTCACCTGGTCCCAGACACACCGGCGATGCCTCCGCCTCGCCTCCGCGCTCGTCTCCCTTGGCATCACCCGCGGCGACATCGTAAGCCACCCTCCGTCGAGATTCCCCTTGTTTTTGCATTGCATGTTTTTGCAACGGCGCGCTGGCCGTGGAATTGATACGGCGATCAATCGGACTGCATATATAGGTGTCCGTGCTGTTGCCGAACGTGCCGGCCATGTACGAGATGCAGTTCGGAGTGCCCATGAGCGGCGCCGTGCTCAACAACATCAACACGCGCCTGGACGCGCGCACGGTCGCCGTCCTGCTCCGCCACTCCGGCTCCAAGCTCGTCTTCGTCGACCCATCGTCGCTCCAGCTCATCAACGACGCGCTCCGGCTACTCCCGCCGAAGCACCCGGCCCCGCGCGTGATCCTCGTCGAGGATCCTCATGAGGACTTCTTCCCTGCTGCCCCGGCTGACACGTTAACGTACGAGAGGCTTCTCGACAAGGGCGACCCGGAGTTCGTGTGGGTGGAGCCGGCGAGCGAGTGGGACCCGATGGTGCTCAACTACACCTCCGGCACGACGTCGGAGCCCAAGGGCGTGGTGCACTGCCACCGCGGGCTCTTCTTGATCACAGTCGACTCGCTCATTGAATGGGCGGTTCCGCCGAGGCCGACGTACCTGTGGACGCTGCCCATGTTCCACGCCAACGGCTGGAGTTTCCCCTGGGGGATGGCCGTGGTGGGCGGTACCAACGTCTGCCTCCGCCGCGTCAACGCCGCCACGGTGTACGCCGCCATGGCGAGCCGCGGGGTCACCCACCTCTGCTGCGCGCCCGTCGTGCTTAACATGCTGGCCAACGCCCCCGACGGCGTGCGGCGGCCGCTCCCGGGAAAGGTGTGCATTCGTACGGCCGGCGCACCACCGCCGGCAGCCGTGCTGCAGCGCACGGAGGCCATTGGCTTCGAGATCAGCCACGGGTACGGGCTAACCGAGACCGCGGGCCTGCCGGTGTCCTGCACCTGGAAGGTTCAGTGGGACAGCCTCCCTGCGCCGGAGCGCGCACGGCTGAAGGCGAGGCAGGGCGTGCGCACGCCGGCCACGGGCAACGTCGACGTCATCGACAGCGAAACCGGCCGTACCGTGCCCCGCGATGGCGCCACGATGGGCGAGATCGTGCTCCGCGGCGGCTGCGTCATGCTCGGCTATCTCAACGACGACGAGGCGACAGAGGCGGCGATACGTGAGGACCGGTGGTTCTACACGGGGGACGTCGGCGTGATGCATCCGGACGGTTACCTGGAGATCCGCGACCGTTCCAAGGACGTGATCATCAACGCCGGTGAGAACATCAGCAGCGTCGAGGTCGAGTCGGTGCTCTACGGTCACCCGGCGGTGAACGAGGCAGCCGTGGTGGCGCGTCCGGACGAGTTACGAGGCGAGACGCCGTGCGCGTTCGTCAGCCTCAAGGAGGACGCGTCGGGCACGGTGACCGCAGCCGACGTCACTGCGTGGTGCCGGGAGCGCATGCCGCAGTACATGGTGCCCCGAACGGTTGTCTTCCTGGCCGAGCTGCCCAAGACCTCCACCGGCAAGATCCAGAAGTACGTGCTTCGGAACCTCGCCGTGGAGATGGGGCCCGCCCGCAAGGGCGTCACTGGCAGCAGGCAGCAGCAGTAATTGTATACCTGGCTCGAAGTATCAAATTATAGGGATATTAAATCTAACTAAATATAAAAATATTAATTTCTATAATACATAATGATTATATCATTATTAATAGTAAATTGTACTTCTATAATAAACATATTATGATATGCAGTACAAACATCGATGTATATTTAGGCAAAAGTTTTATGTGCATTAAATAAGCTACCAACTTAGCAAATATGTTGACATATCACAATACAAATGAATGAGAGATGATCAATGTTTTATGAAATGAAATAAGTTTCATAAGTTTCGTAGACATGGGACACCGATGCGAGAAGAACAAAGCCGATTTAGGGCATGGCCAATGCAAGCTAACAGCGTTGTTAGGCCTGGTTTAGTTTCAAAAAATTTTTACCCCAAACTATCACATCGAATCTTGCGGCACATGCATGGAGTATTAAATATAGATGAAAAAAAACTAATTGCACAGTTTGGTTGGAAATCGCGAGACGAATGTTTTAAGACTAATTAGTCCATGATTAGCCATAAGTGCTACAGTAATTAACATGCGCTAATGCTGGATTAATTAGGCTTAATAAATTCATCTCGCAGTTTTCAGGCGAGCTATGTAATTAATTTTTTTATTAGTATCTAAAAAACCCCTTTCGACATCCCCGAAACATCCGATGTGACATCAAAAATTTTCATTTCGTGAACTAAACACAGTGGTCTGAACGAAAGTTTATGCTCCACGTAGATAAAGATGCGGCCGAGGCTGCCGGTCTCGCAACGCAGGCATTAACTGCTCTCTCCAAACCTGAGCATGGTCAGTAGTACCTTTATTCCACGCTCCACCGTACATATGCTTTCCCCATCTGCTTTACATGGAACCAAGCAAGCGCAGACGTCATGGTACGGCCTCTTTTCTCCGCAACGCTATACTTGGCCAAATGGGCCAAGCACGTTGGGCCAACATAGGCACGGCCCAAAAAAGCACGGACCAAGCACGGCACGACCCGGCTCCCATCGGGCCAGTGCCTGGCACGGCCGTTCATAGTGCCGTGCTTGGGCCTCGACTCCAGCCCGTAGTGCCAGCCTAGGCACGACACGGCTAGTGGGCTGGCACGATGACGGCCCGATTATTTTCCACCATTGGATGATATCAGGGAATTTTGGACCGTTGGATGTATATATTGGAGTATATAATGACTCTTCAAACCCTAGCTCCGAATAGAAACATCTACTCCCACCGCCGCATCTCCTTCCCCATATCCCACGGTCGCAAAGCATCTCTCGTATCCCGGACTCCCTCCCGAATCCTGGCACCGGCGCGGCTGTAACACCTCTGGTGTTTTGACCTAGCACTAAAATTTGACATGTCATCATATGCATTGCAAAGTATTCATGGAGTAGAAGATTTTGAATGCATTCACTAAATAAGCTTTATTTTATAATGTTATTTCATGTGATGTGTTTCAAAACCCTAAATAAAGATCATGACCACAAGGGTCAAATTTCATGTGATCATGTGAGGCCATGTGTCATTTGACTCAAATAACCCTAATGGGCCATGTTACTGGTCAAAAATCAAAGTTAAAGTAAAAGAAAGACAAATCAAATTTGAATTCAAATTCAAATTATAAAAGTCCTTTTTGCCCCTTTTGACTAATTCAAAATCCATGTGGAATTTGGGGTTGAGGCAAAAAGCAAAGTTGAAGATTATTTTATAAGGGTCAACTTTGGTATTCAAAGTTTTTCAACTTTACATATAAAATTTGGAGTAATTTTGAAATGATTCAAATACTCAAATGCACCCCCAAATTCAAATTTCAAAATGGAGGTAGAATTTGAAAATATTCCTTGAAGCAAAGTTGTAGAGTTTGAAAAGTTTAGGAACTTTCATTTTTGGAGATTTTCAACTTCTTTAGAAAAATTGGGAGTAATTTGTAAAATGAACTCAGTGGCAAATCTGTAATTATTTCAAAAATTCAGATAACTACATGGCGCCACTGCCTCACCGTCGGCGTCCTTTCTCCGGCCTTCCAAGCGCATCTGCGACCGCCCTTGGCTTCGCGCTGGCATGGGGAGCACTCTGCGTGTCGAGTCCGCGCGCTCCTGGTCGAGCTATAAGACCCTGATGACGCCGTTCATTTTTCTTCCTTCACTCTGTTTTCCCGACGTCGCCGTCTCAACTCCGGCGAGCTTCTCTCGTACCCTCAGCGCAAGTAAGCCCTGGAAAAGTCATGTTCCAGTTTCACCTGCTCCTTGCGCATCTGACCGAGCTGTTGTTACCGTCTGATTTCGTCGAGAGCTCGCTATCCAGTTCATCTTCCTCGCGGCCGGCGACCTCAATGAAAACGTCGATTCACCGTGCCAGCCTCATCCGATGAGCCGTTGCCCTCGATTGTTGGCTCTCTGGTTTCGTCGCGATGCTGTAGTGCTCATTCCACTCTTGTCTGCTCGTTTTGCCCACTGCAGTCGCCGGAACGCTGTCGTCGAAGAGGTTCGCTCCGCCGTGATCCCGGTCACCATCGAAACGCGTCCCCATAGCTTCTCCGGTCTCGCTTGTTGCTTCAACATGATCGGGGTGAGCCACTGATGCTTCCTGAACTCTCTGTTTCACCGTTACTGGTCTTGTTTTGCCGGCGTAACATTGCCGTGCCACCGCGCCCGCGATGGCCGGTGTTAGCCTTGTTCCATGTCGTAATCGACCTCCAAAGTGCCACTAATCGATGCGCCTAGCTCTTGTGAACATGTTAGTGCTTTGGCCGTCGCTGTTGGGCTCATCATCGGTGAGTTTGCGCCGGTCAGCGCCGTCGCAGCCACAGTCAATGCCCGAGGTTGGGGATGACAGGTGGGGGCCGGCTGTCAGTGAGAGCAAGAGAGAGAATAGTGCCTTTTGTTATTTTCTAATTTTGAATAGTGCTAAATCTTTGGAAATTTGTAGGAAAATAATCATAGCTCCAAAAATTCTGAAAAATTTTGTGTATCTTCTGTACATGCTCTAGTATGGTTTAAAAATTTGAAACATGAAATTTGAATAAATATTTAATGTTCAAATATCCAGTTCATTAATTAATAAATGCAATTTCCATGATTTTTGTAGGACACTTTATAATTCCAAAAAATTATGAAATTTGTTTTGGTACACTAATTTGACATAAGGAAGCTTACATAAATTTTTGAGGTCATTTGGAACAAGTTTATTTTTGGACTTAATTCCAAATTTATTCAAAAATAAATAAAGGCAAACCCTAAGTGTTTGATTAGTGTTGGATCTTGTTTTGGTCATGTTTTGTGACTAGTAGGGTTTCAAGATCCATTTGGTCAAATTACATGTGTGGTTCTTGACGGTAGAATTGCCAGTTGATTTTGTTGGCTTGCATTATCATCATGTTAAAACATATGTTATCATTTCGTGTAGAACCCGAGAGTGAAACGATTCTAGTTAAGCAAGTCCTAGAAGAATCCCCGGTTGTCGCGGGATTCGATAATTGTGGTACTGATCCGGAACCAGAGATCGTCAACAAAGGCAAGGCCCGGTTTATGCATTAAACCATTACCTTGTTTACTTTGAAAAGTTTATCATGTATGTTACTTATTGCATTAAGTTGATTTATTCAAATGTTACCTACTTGATGCATTGCCTACCTTGTTGATTGTTTACCATCCTTGAAGATGATTTTATTTACAAAGGTGTAGAATTGCTTAGTATGCTTTATGGTAGGTTTTCAAAGTAAAAGTTTCGATACAATCAAAGATGGCATACTGGCCAAAGAAAGAAAGAAAGAAGATAGAATGAACTAGAGACTAGTTGGGTGGCTTATCTTGAATGTTGGGTAATGTTGCTGACTATGTCGCTTAAATGCCACTCATTGTGGATCTTCTGAACGAGACACTTTGTAGTACTGGTCACATACTTCAGTAAGCCTACTTCGGCTAATCCGATACTAATACGAATGCCCACGCACTGGGAGTGGTGAGATGGCGGGAGTAGCGTGTACCCTCGTGGCTTGAATATGGTCGGATTCGAGGTGTGTTGTGCTCTCGGGTGGCGTGGAGACGGCTTATTATAGGAGGATCCGATAGCGAGGTTGATATATGCAAGATTAAGTTCTACATATGTCGTGTGATAAGGAATCCCCAGCTGGGACTTGAATCAATTCGAATTGCCGGTGCTCCACGGATATGGAGACTCGATTCATTACAGAAGTAATGCAGGACTGGTGAATTACTAAAACATGAGAAAAAGAATGGAATGAGAAAGATTGGAACATGGGATATGAGCACTTAGTTGGAGATAATGAACTAAAGTACTTAGGGGTAAAACTTGAAACCAGGATCAAGAATAGTAAGCTTTTGGCAAAGAACTTTTGAATTTTGCTACATCCTTACCTTGACCCAACACCTACATCCCTAAGACCTTCGCCCCTTTTATGTTGGGTCAGTCTTGTTGGGTACTTTTGTACTCAGGGTTTGTTAACCCTTGTTGTAGGTGAGTCGCATGCGCAGGCTTGTTTTGGTCCCTGCTGCATGTCAGTGTTTAAAGTTGATGACGATGAGGAATGATGAATGGCCTTTGGATAAGGCACTAGTTTGTGTGAAATAAATAATGTTAATGTAATATTATCCCGCTACTATAGTTGTATGACACTTATGGTTTTGTAAGTTTGAAACAACTGGTTTGTAATATTAAAACATAAGTCTTCCGCTTTATAATCTCTGGTATATATATTAAAAACTGTTGTAATCTGCAATGTCTGTGATTGGGATCCTATTTGGAAAAGATTCGTGGATGATTCGGGTTTCCCGAGGACACCCGACAGACTTGTTAAGTTGTTGGAAACTTGTGTACGCAATTTAAGGTCTGTTGAGACATCGATAGGTGCACGTGGGCCCGATTTCTTAGGAGGTTCTACCACAGCTGGTATCAGAGAAGGTCCTATCTAAGATCATTGTAGGTTACTTTTGAAAACCTTCAAACGGATTTGGATCAAAGAAATTAAACTGGATATTTTGAGTTCAAA